AAGAAGGTTTTGCTAACATCTGCACAGGACTCTGATATAATTTATCATGGTGAATAGAAATACAGTAGTGATGGGATGTGGCCTTAGGTCTTGTGCTATCTTCACTCTGCCTTTGGTGTCCTCTGTGGACCTCCCTTGTAGTCTCAGTACAAAATAGTAGAGATAGATTTAGTAAGCTGTAAAAAGTTCTGTTTTCACACTGAACTGCAGCACTGTTGAATTGCACGTAGGCTTTCAATATTTTAGTGAAGAAACACCCTCTTCATTGCTCTCAGTTAAGAACTTGAAGATAAGGACTGTTGTCTTGATAGTAGTATCCACTCTGGGATGGAACCTCAGTGAGTCAGGTACTTGCCGCAGAAGCTTGACAACCTGAGGTTGAACCTTGGAACCCATGTGAAGGTGGAAAGAGAAAATGCAATCAGTGTTGTCTTCTGACCTCCACACATGTGGTGAATCATGTGCATATCCTCCCATTGGAAATGCACAAAAATAGTGAATTAAAAAAAAAAAAACTGGTTGGTAAGTTCAGTAGAATGACTTTAACTTTGTTCTAAATATAGCTAAAAATTTTTTTGCAGTGTTAAAAGTCTGACACTTAGCAAAATCAAGGAGGCACTGTAATGAATGGAGAAAGGGAATTGGAAAGACACATTCATTGATTTCTCTGATGATGGATGTGATGTGACCAGCTGCTTCCCACCGTGACAGATAGATGTGCCTTTGAGCTCAGTGAGACAGAACAAACTCTTGTCTCCTTTGCTCTTTCATAGTGTTTGATCACAGCATCAGAAAAGTAACTAGAGGAGGGGGAAGTGACTGGGGGGATGGAGGTTTCTATTTGGGATTTTCTTTTCTCTTTTTTTTTTTTAATTCGGTATTTTTTTAAGGTTCTTAATTGTATATGTAAGAGTGTATGGGTCAGAGCATAACTTACTGGAATTGTTTCTCTCCTTCCATTGAGTGTATGCCAGGGATTGAACTCAGGTTGTCAGACATTGGCAACAAGTACCTTTACCATTGTAGTCATCTTGCTTAACTGTTATCTAGTGTGATTTATTCTTTCCTGTGGATTTGTTGTTCTGTTCAGTACAAAAGATTCGTGTATTTTTCTGTGGCGATGGCTTAGTGGTCATGCATTCCTTTAGCCTATTTTTGTCATGGAAAGTTTTTATTTTTCTTTCAGTTACAACAGACTGTTTTGCTGGGTTGGCAGTTAAGTCAGAACTTGAAATACATCTGCCCAGACCCTACTGGCTTTTAAAGTTTCAGTTGAATATTCTGCTCTTGTCCTGTCAGGTCTGCCTTATGGGACATGGTGTTACTTGCTGCTGTTGAGATGCTATCTTTATTCTGTGTATTTAGTGTTCTAATTGTGACAAGGGCTAATTCTTTTTTGGTCTGTCTCTTGTTCTGACTCACTCTGTAGACTAGGCTGGCCTCGAACTCAGAGATCCGCTTGCTTCTGCCTCCCAAGTACTGGGATTAAAGGTGTGTGCCAAGGCCACCATGGCCAGTCCTCACTTTTTAAAATTTATTTTCTTTTTTGCATTTATTGTTTTGGTGGAGGACATTTATTTATTTGCATTTATTTGTTTGGATAAGGTGAGAGGACAACTTGTAGTCTGTTCTCTCTTTCTACCATTGGATCTGGGGCTGGAACTCAGGTTGTTGGACTTGGGAGCAAGTGTCTTAACCACTGAACCATCTCAACAGCTAAGAGTAGTTTTTAAGGTTACAGTATGAAATGATGCTAAGTTTTCAGGTTAGGGAAAAACACCAACAGCATTTGAAAGGGGATGGAATTTCTTTGTTAGTTCAGATTTTATTCTTTAGCTTTAATCTTTTTTGTCCTGAAAAATCTAAGAAGCAGCTGTCGTGTTTCTAAAGCCAGGGTGAATTGGATGTTTTAACTGGGTTATATAGATAGCTTTGTTGCTCTATCAAGAATTTTTGAGCTAGAGGTTCCCTAAGTTCCCAGTGGCTGTGTACTGCAGGATCATATTACAAAGTAGCAGCCTGCTTGCACTCTGTCAGCCCCTTTATTGATCTCTGAACAGATAGTAAATCTTCAGTCTTGTTCGTCACCAGTCTGTTGATGTTCCTCTTCCTCAGCATAGGTGAGCTGTTTCATCCTGACTGTTGGCTTGTGTCCCTTCTCTCTTGTGTTTTCTTATTTGTGTATTGAGTGAGCAGTGGCACACTGGCTGTCTTGTTTGCACATGTTTTATTTGGCAATCAGAGTATTTTGAAAATGTAGTTTATGGTAGTTGCTAACAATAAAAATATAGTAATTTATATTAAAATATTTTGGGAAAAGGACCCGACTGTATTGATGTCAGTGACCAGGGAGGGACACATACTTGCTTGGCTTCATCAGTGTACCTCACTCATTTGTTAACTAGATTAATTTTGTCTGTGTGCATTTTAGTTTATACTCTGTGTCAGAGCCAATAGGTTCTGATCTAGGACCCTTTCTCTGCACTCACTCTTCCTGAACATCTCTGTCCCCATGGAGTGAGACAGTCTGATGCCAGAGGATGACCCTGCATGCTGGATTCTCCTTCCTCATTCTCCCAAGTGCTGGGATTGTAGGTGCATGTCACCGTGCGACTAGTTGCTTTTGTAGGTTTTTTTCTTCAAGTTTAGAGATTGTCTGACTTTCATTGTTGAATTAGTTGTTTCTTTGTATTTTAGTCATTCTTTCTGGTTTATCTGGTTTGATGGCTTGAAATATTTTTTAACTTTATTTTTATTTGATATGAATTGGTGTTTTGCCTGCATATATGTCTGCGTGAGGGTGTCAGATCTTGGAGTTGCAGGCAGTTGTGAGCTGCCATGTGGGTGCTGGCGATTGAACCCGGGTCCTCTAGAATTACAACCAGTGAGTGCTTTTCAGCCTCAGCTCTGGCTTGAAAGAATTTTTTAGCAGTGTATGCTAATTAAGACTATCTGCTTGTAGTGATCCTAATTGATATTTGAGTCTTAATGTGTCTCCAGAACTAAGCTGTTATTGTATTTTAAATATAAATGATAGAGATAGAATTGCCTTGTTTCCCTTTTGATTGTGAACATGTAACAGCATTGGTATTTCCTCACACTTGGGACACTTCCATTGCTTTCACCTCTTCCTGGGGTTTGTTCTGTCTCACCCTTCACCCTGTTGCTGTCATTTACTAAAGCTCCTTGCAGGAATATTTTTCTTGTCCTGTTCCTTTCGGGTCATCACGGGTTTTGCCATCCGGCTCGTTGTTATCCCCACCCCCAAACCCCCACCTCCCAGCTGCACCTTACTGCTCACTTTTGTGCCTGTGGACAGTCCATTAATAGTCTACATGATTGCAGCTTAAAATCCACTTGGATTTAACAAACATAGTAAGTAAAAACAGCCCACCATAGGATCTCCTCCATCCTTCTTGGTAATGACACAAGTCAGTCTTATAGTTACAGAGTATGAAAACATTTACAGAGACATGTTTCTGTCCCATTACCCTTTTAAGGGTAATTACTACGAATAGTTTGTATTTTCAGTTTTTATGATTTTTTTTTTCTTCTGAGGCAGGGTCTCTCTATGTAGTCCCAACTGTCCTGGAACTTGTATAAATCAGGCTGGCCTCAATCTCACAGAAATCTTCCTGCTTTTGCCCCCCAGGTACTAAGATTAAAGGCATGCCAAGCTTGATTGTTATTATAAATAAGAACCTAGTATATTTATTGTTTTGAAGTTTGCCTTTTTTTTTTTTTTAAATAGACAATTTAGTAGTCTATTTTGGTGGCTTTTCCACACCAGTAGTTTTCAGGGGAGCTGTAAATAGTCCATAGGAAGGAACAGAGTTGCATTCAGTCATTCTTCTGTTGATGATACCAGAAAGCTTTTCCTGGGAACAAACAAGACAGTTTTGGGAAACCTGGAGAAAGGATGTTGATACTGCTAACTTTCTCTGTTGATACAGGAGTGACAACTTGGGCCTGGGAGATGGCTCAGTGTGTAGGAACACTGGCTGTGTAGTGAAGGTCTAATTTCAAATCCTCAGGGGGGAAAATCCCTAATAAAAAGCCTGGCATGTACTTATAACCCTAGTGCTGTGGAGTGTAGACAGGAGGTTTGCTGGAGCTTGCTGACCACCAGACTAGTTCCAAGTTTAATGCAAATCCTTGTCTCCAGGGCAAAGGGCTGAAGGTGATAAACATCCCACATGGCTTGCATGTGTGCATGGGAACAAGCACTGGCACCCACCCTCCAGTATCAATTTGACTATTTCCATGCTAGACAGCATTAAATTTTTACCTCATGCAAACTGTGTGACAACCTGTTTTGTAGGTAACATACCTTTTGTAGTATGTTGTATTGCCTATGTGTCATGCACATGTTACTAGCTTTTTCATTTGTTTAATCTTAACCCTCAGAAGTGCCCTGTAACTTTCATCTAAGCTGATAATATTACTCCTATTTTCCAGTGAGAGAGGCATATCATTTGTTGAACAACTTTCCTATGCTTACACAGTCTGCAAATCTCCAACCTGCATTTTGACAGGACTCCAAAGTGGGCTGTCCTCCAGAGACAACTGAAAACACCCTTCTGTATCTTGCTGGGATTGTAAAATGATACAATCACTTTGGCAACTGATAGTTCCTCATGAGGTTGAATAGAGGTGTCATATGACCTTGTTTAACTGTGGCAACATGAAGAAAAGTGTTTGGAGGAGAACTGTATCATCTGGACAGATACTAGCACTACCAGTAGGTCAAGAAAGATGAGTGTTCAGAATTGACCAATGGGTTTTGCACTCGGTCAGCAGGCTCTGTGAACATGACAGATAGCATCTGTATTTTGTGTTTCTACCATAACCCCATGGATGAAAAGGCTATCTGACTGTAATTTTTCTATTTTCTTGTCATTTTTCAGCTCTTACTTCTTTGTGTTCCCTAATTTTTGTAAATTTTGGGTTCCATGCCTGGATTTTTAGTCTGCTCTCTGTCTCCTGGGTTTTACACTTCTTTGAAGTCCTGAGAATCGAACTAGGTAGGCTTCGTGACTGAGACCTCTGGAAGAACAGTCGGTGCTCTAAACCTCTGAGCCATCTCTCCAGCCCCACGTGCTTTTTTTTTTTTTTTTTTCTATTTAAAAACTTTAATTTTCAGGTGGACCGGTGGCTTATTGTTGCAGGGCAAAATGGAGCTGGAGGAGGCCATGAGTTGGTACACTAGCCTGGTCAATCTGGCTGTCTTCCCACACCTGACTATGGTACTTCTGGCCATCGGCATGTTATTCACCACCTGGTTGTTGATTTATGAGGTCATAACCATCAAGCACACATGCAATATTTACAAAGAGCTCCTCATCTTCTTGCTGGCCTCACTCTTCATGGGCTTTGGAGTCCTCTTCCTCCTGCTCTGGATTGGCATCTATGTATGAGTTTCCAAGGGTACCCACCAGGCAGCTTCACGAAGTCCCTGCTTTTGTAAATGAATTATTTACATTGCTACAAGTATCCCACCTTCTGTTTACAATAAAGGCAGGTGTGTGAAAAAAATTTATTTTTCATTTTACATACCACCTCCCCTTCTCACACTTTCTTACTCTTTACAAAATGCCATTTGCCTTTTCTCCTGCAGTACCTCTGATCCAGGTTGTTCCTGTGGTCCCAGCATCTTCTGCTCCCTAAGATGGGATTGTGTGTATTTGTACTGTTAGACCCCCGAAAACTCAAGTATTCGGGGTCCCAGGCCACGTTCGCGGTCACCCCAATCACCAGGCGGATTCGAGAGCTTGCTGCAAACTGCATGAGGCTTTATTGTAATTTAACGAGTTAACCCCATGTTAGCTCGGGTCTTTCACCCACCCGCTGGCGGACGGCTAGAAAAGACGGCTTGAATCCGCTGCGCATAGATCTTTATAGGGCAGCGTAAGGGGAGTGTCTAGGGGTACGCACAGGCTCACGATTGGGGTGTCTCCAGGCTTGGAGGGCTTGCCCTGTGTTGATTGGTCAACTGGTTGTTATGGCCCATAGGCCCTCCCAGGGTGGTTGCTATGCTCTCTACGTCATTGCTGTGCGCTTGTCTGTAAAGCACACCCAGGGTCGTAAAGCATAGCGCCACCAGCTAACCTCTGATTGGCTCCTTGTCACGAGACAGGCATCTGACTTTCTAGTGACTAGGTTCTGATGGGTTCCTTGTCACGAGACAGGCATCTGACCTCTACAAGTGACCAAGGCAGGTTTATGGCAAGCACGTGTTCGGCTGTTATGGCTGCCAAAAGGAAGCTGGTTCCTTCAGTACCTTTGACTCCTTTGGTGATTTGTGAAACATGTAGGCTCCTCTCTAAGGGAATATTCATCTTAAAATTATTATTTAGGGACTGGAAGAGTTCTCATAAAGTTAAGAATTCTTGCTCTGCAGGCATGAGAACCTGAGTTTGAATCCCTAGCACCTACATAAAAAGCCAGACAAGCTTCATGGGACTGAAACCCCAGCACAGCCCATGGGGTGGGGGGCTTGGGGGGATGCAGAGACAGGCAGATCCTGACATCTCTGTGGCCAGCCAGAGCAGTAGAAACAACTTCTAGTTCAGCAGTAGACCCAGACTTGAGGCAGTAATGTGAAGAGTGATAAAGGAAGATGCCTGGCATCCTGCTGTGGCCTCCACATGGGCACATGCACCTGCTTACTCATGTGCATGCCCCAAATACAGACAGCGAATAAAGTCACTTGTGTGTATGAGTGTCTGGAGGCCAGAGAGTGATGCTGGGGATCTTAATTGTTCTCTACCTCAGTTTTTGAGACAGGGACTTTCATTGACCTGGACTTAGCATTTCTGCTACACTGGCCAGGCAACAACCTCAGCCAGAGAATCCATTTTTGTTCTCTCAGTGCTAGGGTTACTAATGTGTGCTACCTTGCATGGTTTTTATGTGGGTACTGGGGATCTGAACTTGCATCTTCATGTTTGTTCTGCAAACACTTTACCCACTGAGCCTTCTCTCATCCCTCATAGCATATTCACTCATCCATAATGAAGAGTGTGTGTGTGTGTGTGTGTGTGTGTGTGTGTGTGTGTGTGTGTGTGTGTGTGTGTGTATGTATGTGTGTATGTGTGTATGTGTGTGTGTACAGTTGCAGGCATGGATATATATGGAGTTCAGAGGGTAGCCGCAGGTGTCAGTTCTTGCCTTTCACCTTGAGATAGGGGTTTCTTTGTTTTTCCTCTGGATACAATAGGCCAGCTTGCCCATGAGCTTCTGGGATTCTCCTGTCTCTGCATCCCATCACCCTATAGGAGTGCTGGGATTACAGATGCCAGTGTTCCTTATCTGGTTTTTATGTGGGTTCTGGGGATTCTACTTCAGATTCTCATGCTTGAGTGTCAAGCACTTTTGCCTACTAAACCACTTTCCCCGCTCTGACTTCTAATTTTCAATACTCCTGTTTTATCTTCCCAACTGCCAGAATTCCAGCCTTGTTTCATTTATTTTAATACTCTCTTTTAGATGAGATTTTCTAAATCACCTGTTTGGAGTTTTCATTTTCTTCAGGACTGATGGAGCTAAGGTTGTGTTGATGGCCCCAACTACAGTCATTAGATAGTGTTCTGCAAGGAGCTTCCAGCAATATCTGATCTTTCTGTCAGGTTAAATACAGGAGATGAACTGTTGTCTGGTTTCTTTTTGAAGCTACTTGGTGTGTGTGCTCATAACTGTCAGTTCTTACAGTTCTTTTGCCAGTCTAACAGTCTCCAATATTCTGTGTTAATAATAAACTAGTTATAAGAATACTACTTAATAGTGTGTGTGTGTGTGATCTGAGGACAGCTTGCAGGAGTCCTTTCCTACTGTATGGGTCCTGGGATTGAACTCAAGATTGTCAGGCAGCAAGTACCTTTACGACTGAGCTATCTTACCAACCTAATTTTATTTATTCTTATGAGATTGTTTTCTTGTTTTGCTTTATTCTGTTTTTACTTTTGAGACAGTCTCACTATATAATCCTGGCTGGCCTGGAGCTCAATGTATAGACTGGGCTGGTCTTGAACTCACAGAGATCTGTCTGATTCTGTCTCCCAAGTGCTAGGATTAGATATGCACCACCATGTCTAGTTTCTGTGTGCTAACTTTTCATTCATGGCTTTATGTTTATACTGGCTTTTCAAAAGATTGGGACAGGGCTTCATATCTCAGTAGTGGAGCACTTGCATAGACTGCATGAGACCCTGTGTTCAACCCCTAGCAATAAAAGCACATTAACAATCCCCACCACAACATGTACACACATAGATCTTATTTTTCCTGGCTGGCCTGGAACTCCATATATAGATCAGATTTGATCTGGTGTGATTGTGGTCATCTTCCTGTTTCTGCATTCTTTCTTCTTTGAGATTATATATTCAAAACAAAACAAAAACACTCTACTTTTCTCCTTAAGAGTTGCTTCTTTTACTTCCTTTCTTCCCCTCCCTCTCCCTCTCTCTTCAGAGTCTCACTATATAGCCTTGGCTAGCCAGGAACTCTTTATGTAGACCAGGCTGGCCTCGAACTTGCAGAGATTCACTTGCCTCTGCCAACCAAGAGCTAGATATAGAGCTTTTAATTACCATTTTGTGTATGTTGTGAAGTAAGAACCAAAAACTTTAGGAAAAAAAGCCCCAGGTGATTAGACTTGTGTAGTGGTCAATGCCTATGGTCAGCTCTAGAGGATGAGCACAAGCTCAAGGCAAGCTTTGGTAACATAGAGTCCTACAGATAAACCCCACAACAATTATGTGTTCCAATATATTTGTGTTTAGAGTAACATATATTTCATGTCTTTGTGGTTTTTGTTTTGTTTTATTTTGAGACAGGGTCTCATCATCTGGAACTCACTGTCTAGATCAGGCTAGCCTCAAATGTACAACGATCCATCTGCTTCTGCCTCCCAATCGCTGGGATTAAGCGTGTGTGCCACCATGCCTAGAAATACTTGAAATCTTATTTGACATAAACTTAAAAAAAAAAAAAAAAAAAAGCTCTGCTGTTTCAAAGACTGTCCTTTGTCCTTTTGTCCTTTGTCTTTGAACTCTTAATCTTTTTGCTTCAGCTTCTAAAGTGCATGTGCCATCAAGCCTGGGTAAATTTTGTTTTATATGCTGAATTTATAGGGTCAGCTTCAAAGCTGTGTACACTGAGCAGAAATGTATTTATACTCTTCCATCAGTAAGGGTTTGTGTTACTGAAGGATGTGTTTACTTAGGGGGTCTCACTTGGAAGGTAAACCTTGCTGTGCTTCAGAGTGGTGAGGCAGGGGTTTGCTAACCAGGCTTCAGTTTCAGATACGCCTTCTCACTGTCTGATGGTTTTTGTGAACCAGTGTCTGTTTTTTTTTCCTTCTGTGAAAAAGCTACAAGTTAGGGCCACAGATTGCTAAGAGGGTAAGAGACTGCTACCAAAGCTTGACCACCTGAGTGGTGGGTAGAAGGAGAACCTGCTCCTACAAGTTGTGTGGTCTCCATGCACTTGTGTGTTTGCACATGTAACTTCTGAGAAGTCACAAATAATCTTGTCCTGCTGCTTTACAAGCTTGTTTTAAGGATTAGATGGGATAATAATGGACATGAGGCTCTTTAATTGGTAAAGCAGTTAATGTAAGGAATTACTGCTACTTAACTCTTCCTTCCTTTTTCTCGTAGGTAGTGTTGGTGCTTCTTTTCAGTGCCAGTCCATCCATCACGACCACATTTGTCATGATGACAGTGACAAGGTGAGGTCCTTGTTAATGTCTGCCACCGTGAAAATGCATGCCACCCTTATTGTACTGCTGGATTCACCTGCGTAACTCTGGACCTAGAGCTCCTGGGGCAACTTGAGGTGTAATGTTGAGACACAGAGTACAGACGGTCTTAATGGTTTGTGTATCAGATTATTGGAGTGCTCCAGAACACCTGCAGCTCAACCTTCAGAAGAGATGACCTGGCTCCTACCTAGCTCTCCAGGTCTCTTGTTGTGTCTCTGTCCTTCCTCTTTATCTGCACAGGCCAGACATAAAACAAGTGCTCTCTTAGCAGTTCATGTGTTTCTAACTGGAAATACCACAGACATTCCAAATTGTTTCACTTTGTATATAGTTGATTATACAGTTATCACCTTTCTTATTTTTTTAAAATGTGATGATGCTCACTAACTACTAGTGAGGCTCAGAGAGAGAGAGAGAGAGAGAGAGAGAGAGAGAGAGAGAGAGGGGAAACCTGAGGTGTTGCTCCTCATCATCTACTTTATTTGAAGGAAGATTTCTTGTTCACCACTGTGTATACCCCATAGACCTCTCAGCTTCCCATCTTGTTAAAGGAAAACTTAGATTGGAGATACATGTCTTGTGTCCCAGCTTTCTGTGGGTTTGCAGATTCAAACTCTGGGCCTCACTTTTAGGCACAGCAAGTACCTTAGCCAAGGAGACATTTCCTCAACTTTTTAGTTTGTTTCTTTGATATAGGGTCTAATGCCATAGTAGTCCTCCTCATGGACCACAGATGTGCCCTCTGCACCTGTTTTCTTTTTATACTTTACCCTTACTTTGATTTACTTTGTTCCCAAAGCCTAAACTAAATCTTGTCTTGGTTATTGAGAATGTAACCTGATTCTTCAGGATTGTTCGTGTGTGTGTGTGTGTGTGTGTGTGTGTGTGTGTGTGTGTGTGTGTGTGTGTGTGTGTGTCTGTGTGTGTGTGTGTGTGTCTGTG